TGGAATGATTAAGAGGAAGATTAACAACGTGGTTGACCGAATCCGGGGGTGTTTCCACTTGAGCTCCCATGGCCATCCAAGCACGCAGAACCTCGCTATAGAGGAGAAGGATTCTCGTGAAAAATTTATTATCGAGGTCAATATAAAAAAGTTGGTACCCAAGGTTTAATTGTTTATATTGCTGAAGATAGTGAGTCATTAGAAAAAAAACAAGGATGAGAATTAAACTGAAGAACCGCTGTATGCGATTGAATCTCCCAGCAACTTCTTTTTGCCTACGCTGATTTTTGACCGCACTGAGAAATTTAACCAAAGCACTGTGATTGAGGGGTTGATTCCCTGTTGGGAGGACCGAAGGATAACGTTCCTCGTCATCCTCCCACTCGTTGTCATTGTCTGCAGAGGGTTTGGGCAAAATTGACATTTGGGTACACAGGGTTTTGGGAATAGCTAAGGAAGAGGAGGGAGTGGGTGTAGGAATGGGGGTGGGGGTAAGGACGGGGGTGGGAACAGGAGTGGGTTTGGGGACAGGGGTTGGTTTTCGAGGTGGAGGGAGGGATGATAGTACTCATACGGGTAGGGTTGGGTTTCGGAGTTGGGGTAGTGTTTGCATTCTGAACAGAGAAATAGGAGAACCCCCAAGCAGGGTGGGAGACTGGTGAGGGCATGGGTGTTTGTGCAGTATGACTAGGTGTGTCATCAATAGCCCAGGAAAGAGTGATGGAACTAGATTTCTGCAATTTGTGTGGGACCGGTAATTTAAGAGGGGTCAAACGTGATGTGTTTTCCGGTTTCTTGGGAGAGTGCTTACGCCTAGTAATCGCCTCAGAATATAATCTTCTCGGAGCAGGCGGAGAACCCCAAACGCTCTGAGAAGATTCTATGGTGTCCATGTCTGTATTGTCCATCTGACTCAGGGACGACGGGGCGGACACAACGACACCCTCACCGGGGCCCCAAGGGCGAGGTGGAGGAGACCTGAGCGGGGCAGGCCCAGTGGCCCGACTCCCACTGCCACCAACGGCGAGTGCTCCGGCCCTTGCCGAAGCCCCACCGGGAGCGGAGACCGCCGGCTGAGCTAGTCCCAACCAGGCCCCGCCGCCATGCCCCGAGTGGGGGAGCCGGAAGCTTTAGGAAAGTCAGCTTTCTTTTTTGTAACAACCGGTGCAGGGTTTCCTGAATTCTGAACATTTTGTGGTTTTTCTTTCTTGCAGAAACGACTGATATGCCCAAACTCTCCGCAGACAAAGCAGGGGATTGACTCGGTAGTGAGGAACACATGATAGTAAGCCCCAAGATAGGAGAAATTAATGTGATCCAGGGGGAGAAGATTGGCTTTGAAAACTACCTGAACTTGTTGATGGAAAGACATGATGTGGCTGAGATCTTTGTTTTTTTGCTCCAATAGGTATGGGCTGTATTGGGGAGACTACCTTGCAAAAATCGGACAAATTTTCAACTAACACGGCATTGGTATTTCAGGGTACACATTGGACAACGTGAGTCGATATGGCTTTGAGAAATGCGACTAGCGTAACAGACATGCATTTCAGGAAAACACTCAGTGAAACTATTCAGATAGTTGTTCAGTGGAATGTTCTCTTTTGCATGGAATGTAATACCATTGCGTCTGGTGATGCCACCGGAGGGTCCATCACCAGACACAGCGGGCCGGGCGTGGCAGTCCAGGGTCGCCCCTGTCACCTCCGAACTTAGGCCAGCGGCCGAGGGACCTGCTCGACTGGCCATGGGGACCAGCAAAGCAAGGAAACCTGCCAAGTACAACCACACACTAACCAAAATGACCCTGAAATTTCACTATAACTAAACAAAAACAAAGAGGAGTTGGTCTAGCAAATATCTATGTGCACTATACAACAAAATTTTTAGAAAACCAGTGACCAATCAAGGTCAGAAAAGGGAAATTTTCAACGACTTACAAGAGCTCGAGACTTACGAGGGAACACACGTCCGCTGCTGAAATAAATAAATAAATAAATGAGTCGTCTTGTTGTTTCATCGATACAAGACGCAAACATAGACTTTAAATCCTTTCTTCCATGATTACTTGATGCTTGTCAATTCATAGCTATTGCACTCTGCTGTTTCTCTTGATGCCAGCATACACATCACTAAGCACTCTGCTGTTTTCCATGAATGACTATATTAACATCGCAATAAACACTCCGCTGTTTTTCTTGATGGTGATACGCTCCATTGTTTTTCTTGATGTTTATACTCATCGCTAATCACTCCGGTTTCATTGAAACAAGACTGTTTCCCTTGATGTATGTAAGTACATTAAAATAGTTTTGATGAGTGGTTGTCGTAGACCGATAGATGACATTTTTTAGACACAGACTCCATCCGCCATTGTGACAGTACAATTACTTACATCTAAAGGCTGACCTTGCTCAACAAAGGAAGCACTATGGTTGAATAAACACACACTTGGCTTTGTGCAACACAGTGGATGTGAACTCTTGATTTATTTAGGTCGAGTTAGACTGGTTTCCAAATTAAAAATAACCTCGTTATCCCAAGGATAACGGGACTTATAAACATTAGCTTACAATCAAATCTCATGGAGATCTTTAATATAGGTTAATTACTCTGAGTCACTGCTATCACAGTCAATCACTCTAATGCCGTTTTATCTGAAATGACTTTCGCATTGTTAATCTTTAAAATGGCTTTTTCGACTTTATATCTAATGCAAGTACCACATGACAAAGATCCATGTGTACTGTAAAAGACATCTTTGGGACAAATCAACGAAACCATGTTGCAACATTCACCAATATATTTGTCAAGTTGATCTTGCGATATTAGATTTTTATGATGGTCAAACAACATGATGGTCGTGGTATGTAATTGACGTACATGCGTTTTTTATCTGTGTAAGGCAGTTTAACAACGAATTTGACCTTTTTCCAAGTCGTCTAAATAACGACTGGCTCTGTAAGCGTTGATCCTATTTGGTGGAATGTAAGTCATGTGCGTGCCGATGTATTTGTAAGCCATAAAGTTTGTGTGGTCAAGTACATCCATTGCAGGCTCTCAAAGTTGATAGCAGGTTTGATGTCCAATGATATTTTGGGGATTTTTTTTCTTTGGCACCAAAGATTGACTAGATTTACGCCATAGCAGATTGTTTTGGGTATCATGATCAACAGGGATTTTTCTTTGTCGTCGTGGTTATAAAAAATGGATGAATAATGTTGCGTATGTTTTTCACTCTTTTTTACCACTGGGTCTGCTATCACAAGTCTGTCGGGGTCAAAGGGGCCATATACAACGGTTATGTCTGTGTTGTCAGCATTGAGGCGTTCGTGGTCGTCGGTTACAATATTGTTAAACATGGTTGGGTATGTTTTGTATGTGGAATGTGATATTATTTTTCATTCTGTTGTGGTTACACGACTCCAATATTATTCTTCTTCTTCTATAAATAAGTCCTTGTTATATTCAATTATTAAGCCTAATTTTTCTACTTTTACATCTAAGTCAGATTCAAAGTCGAGATAGGGGTCATCTTCATTCCTAAATCTCACACTTTATAGCAACCGTACTGTTACTGTCACTGTTACTGTCGTATATAAACGATTTATCATATAAATTATTGCAATCGACACATTTTTCGCAATTAATACATCCTTAGCAACTACAACAGATATCACATTTAAAACAGATTTTGCAATCATGCAGCCTTTGCAATCGATGCAATGATAGCAATCGATGCAATTGGCGCAATTGGTAGATTTTTTACAATATCTGCAGTTAATGCAACCATGACATTTGTTGCATTTGTGTATGTTTTTACAATTATTACAATCTTTAGAAACCTTTTTTTGCAGTGGTTGCATTTATTACATGCAATACATCTGTCAATATGATTGCAGTTTTGGCAATAAATGGAATCAATGCCATTTGTCACATTCTGTGATTCAAATGTTTTTTTTTGCAAAAGTAACAATTAAAACATGGTTCATTATTGACGTCGGTTTTAGAGTTTTGTTTTGGTCTCAATTTTTGGTTTGCCGAGCTTGATATAATGGATGAGATAGTTTTTCATAAAAAAAAAAAACCAAAAGACACAGCAAATATAATCAGGAATAAATGTCTTTTGAGGGTGACAACATTTAGGACCGTGTTTCATCTCCCTCACCAAGCAGATGCGATGCCGCTATCGTTGCACGTCTTTCTTGGCTCGAGTTATCATGTCTTTGTCCACAGTGTTAGATTGGGCGAGTAACCAAGTGGCATGCGCGGCGACTAACTTGGCGTATTCAAATTGGGTAGCAAAAGTGAGATCCATGGTTTGTCGTTTTTTTGGTTTGGCGAGTTTGATATAAGGGTGAGATATTTTTCAATATTTTTAAGGCACTAAAATGTGATTTTTTCAATTTTTTTTAACCACTAAAAGGGTCGGGTAGGTACCCGAGGAAAAAGGCGTTCTTGAACTCTCTATCCTACCTAGTCCAGAAAAAAGCACATATTATAATCATTTATTATGTTTTCTTTTATTTTTCATTCCCTTCGTATTTTATTGTTAGAATTGTTCTACCAATAGTATCGGATGTGACAATAAGGATAAGAAGCAAAACATACAGCTTGACAGAAAAACAGCATGTTTTTCAACAACTGTGCATGGCACATCCATACACAAGCATTTGGAATAATGTAGTTTCTGGATACCCTCAATTGCCCTGCAACAGGAAAATACATCTGATTTTGCAAATTTGATATCAGAAGTTGTAAAAACTTCAAAGAAAAAGTCATGAGAGGACAATTTGACATTTGGAGCAATTTGGAGTAGCAGCAAATTTCTCGGGGGGGGGTTGTCAATTGAGGGCAAAGGGAATAGAGCTAAGGACAAATTCTATTTGGGCTTCTTCATATGCTCCCTCTTTAAGTGTAAGAAATACTGAGACAAATTTAAGAATCTCATCGTTTCCAGTCCCTCCTTCCTAAACAATATTTAATGTACAAGTAAGTACCTGAAACTGCAGAATTAACGTGTTATTCTTCAAGTATCCTTCACTAGCCAGCAAGTCGAGTCTGAAGAAACGATTGTAACCCCAGCATTCCCCAACTTCAAAATCAGAGGCAAACTCTCTCACAATATTCTTGCTGCTGTCATGGGTTGCCTGATGAATCATTTCCACTCTGTACTCATACCTGCAAAGATGTTCAAAGACATTTTTTTTAATGATACTGTGCATTGGTTTGCCACTAAAGCTGTGAGAACTGGACTGAATTCACCTAGGCAACACAATGCATAATGCATGGAAACCACACACACACAGAAGTGTNACACAGTTGTCAATCAGGGACCTTATTGTCCTCTATTGTTCAGGGTCCCCAATTTAATGCAGAAACAAACTCACCCACACCCACACCTCTGGAAATAACACAAATGGCTTGAAAATATCGATTTTCCTTGTGTTACCCAAGAAAAAAAACAGACTATATTTTAAATCTCTGAATTTAAAATTGTCAACTAAATACCAAGTTGGATACTATGTTCATTTAAAACAAATGTCCACATACACATATATGGTGTGCAACATGCCCATATGATATGAGCCCAGTTTCAAATGACATCCGAAAAAGTACATATAATTCACTACAGTGGTGTTTAACTTTATTGCTCATTTGTGTAAATTTCCACCCAGAATAGGGACAAAACAACTGGTTTGCTACAATGCAAAAAAAGAAAATATAAACTCATGTTCATAAGCAAGCTACAAAACAACTGCTAATCCACCACAAACACATGCATGACATGGTATAACACAATGTAAGAATGAAATTCAAAACATCAAACCTTCCAAATTTACTGCAAATATCTCCCAGCATTCTTATAAACGTGATTAATTAAGAATTGTAATTCAAGGCTTTTTAATAGTTCTTCCTGACAATTATTGAGCCTACGGACCTTGTGGGCATACGTCACAGATCACCAGTGTGATTTTGATTCTGCCATATTGGTGATCATGTAACAGGGAAAACAGCAAAAACTCTAACTAAACCAAGGATCTTTGAGGGAAAAGTTGCAGAAAACTGAACTAACAAGGACTGAGACACCAATATTTTACTTCAACAAAAGGACACAGAAGAATTTATTAGCACCATGTTCCCACTTGATCGACCAATTGGGGGATCAGATCCACCTTTTGCCGAATGGCCGGATCAGATCCCCCAATTGGTTGATCAGATCTGGCAACTGTGTGTAGTGGGAATGCTAACCGTTACAAGGTGGATCAGGATCAGATCCACCTTTCTTGATCCTCCTCTGGAGCAGGATACAGATTCCCCAATTGCTGGATCAGATCTTGCAACTGGCCGATCACGATCAGATGGGAACCCAAAAGGTGGATCTGATCCGGCAATTTGACCTGTCAACATCTGATTGTGCATGAGTGGTGCGAAACTTTTGTGGTCTGATAAACAAAGAAGTATGTTTTTTTGCATGGGAAATTTTTAACGTGCACAGCATGCACAATCAACAACTGCTAAACTACAGGCTAGTAAAATGTGTTACCACGCATGTGTGATGCATGAATGCCACATTGTTTACCTAGCCCTTTCACAATTTTTGTTGCGCATTCGTCCATTTCTTAACCTTTTTCATTTGTGTAATTTCATTTGCTTTCCATCAAAACTAATTCTGTGTTAGCATACACTCCGTAGGGTGTAATAGAGTATCAAATAGGGAAGCAACATTTGAAAAGACAACATACTAGGCTGAACATTTGGTCCGATTCAGGGTTGTCACGTTAGTAGAACTCCACACCCGAAACACCTCAAGGGTCACACGTGTGCCCCCCAGCACACAACACTGCCACAGAGCGTGCGCTCAGCAAGCTAGCACATGTGCAATACTGAACTCGGTGACCTTTTGGGCTTGACATTTCCATCCGAAAAGGTGGATCAAGCAATTTCGTTGCGGTAAGATAATGATCACACCAAAATGCCGGATCAAGAACTATCTTTTTCCAATTCAAGTGGGAACGTGCTGTACAAGAACTTTGAAAGGACTAAAACCAACACAGTGTGTATAAGTGGCCTTTCAAGTACACTCCAACAAGAAGTCTGTAAACCCAGATAAGAAAAGTATAGAGTATAACAAGAAACAGGGTCTGCTAAATATTCCTGACACAATAAACAAGTTATTTCCTACAAAGAAAGTGGAAGGTGCTAATCCCCAGGCAAGAATGAACACATTATGCAACAAGTCCAGCATATCCAGTGTATGGCACCACAGAACAGTACAGAGAGTAAAGCCGGATTCAAACTTGTTTGGCTTTACCCATGTAATTTATTCACCCGGGTATTTGTTCATATCTGGGTATAAACTTACCCTGAGAATCTGTTTCACACTTCCAACTTCACTCGAGTATTTAGCGTACCCGCTTTCGTGCAAACCTGGGTAACTTGTAACCGTGTTCACATTTCAATCGTGGCAACCCGGAGATAATAATAAATAATATGACAATATAAATAATATAACAGTATAACAAACAGACAAGTTACGAGTCAATTAGACTGGTGTCCTCTATGTGAAATACATGTATAAATATGACGAGATACCAGCCACAGTGGACATCGGCAGTGCCGGGCCTGAGGCCGTGGAGCTGAGGGCAGTGCTGGTTGTGCATGTCCCATCCTATCTATTCAATGAGAAAACCTGTGTTGAAGGAAACCCGGTGAGCATTCATACTACTGAAGGTAACCTGGTGAATTATCTCAAGGCCACCGTTAACCCTGAAATTGGTGAGTCAACCCACCTCGAAAGTAGGGTTAAACAAATCCTGGCTAAAGTAAGGTTTCAAGGCAGTTAACCCGGAGAATTTCTAACCCCGAGAAGGGCAGTGTGAACACTCTGAATTACCTGGGTATTCTCAGGTTTATTTTTTTCGATAGCCCCAAGAATACCCTGGTAACACCATAGTGGAAACCGGTTAAAGTGAGTGCAGTGGGAAAATTCAGAATAAAACTATAAAGCACATGCATGGCCTTGACTCACTAAACTCTATGCCTGTCATATAAGATGAACAAAAGACAATGAGAGAATCTAGAAAGCAAATGAATAACCAGTTTGACAGAAAAGAATACAGCATGGTCCTGTACTTGACTCAAGTTGAATTTAACCAGCTTAAATACTTTCTAAGAAACATTCAAATAGTCAGAAATTTCCAATAAAAATCTTGTTTACCTCATCAGACAGTTTAATAAAAATGACTATCATCGAAAGTAAAAGCAGTAATGAATCTGTCATGATGAGTAAGTTGGGCAAATAGAATAATCCCAAACTTCAAAAACTATAAATTCTGCTAGTGCTAGGTGAAGCTATATTTTTTACACGTTTCAAGGTATTCTCTTAGGGGTTGATCTTATTATATTTTATCAATTTCTGATCAGAAAAGAAATGTTTCTGTTTTTAAACCTCATTGCTTAAGGTACAAGCAAGCAAAATAGTGACAGAGTCGCTTGCCTGAATCTCCGATGGCAATTTGTTCCATAAACGTGGAGAACACTCCACTACGCCCCAGAAGGCCAGTAGGGGGTGCGTGGATGGGCCAAAGATGCTCGAAGCTCGAAGAAGGCCCATGGGCATGCAGATGATCGACCGGATGTATCATCCCGTACCAGGGGACCGGCCGACAGACTGCTGCGAGTCGCAAAGAAACTCAAAGAGCAAACTCGCAATAAGGGTATCAGATGGTCAAAGCCCGAACCGACTGGAAGGAAATTGTAAAACTACGCACTGTCCTATTTCCTAGGTTAGCAAGGACCGAAACGCCGCACAACTGTCCTTACCAACCAAGCAATCACGGGCCCGTGAACGGGCAAATACTGTACTCGGAGTGGGGTTAGAAGCACAACTCTGACACTTTTCCTCTCTAGAGCTAATCCAAAGCACAAAAAGAGAGAGAGAAGCAAAGCTAATGAAACACCAAAATTTCCGGCAAAACCCAACTGGAATAAGAACAAAGAAATTCAGAATAACGAGACAACCGCTCTCAAGAAATTCTGTTTTTTAAAAAATTTTTTTAAACAAAGAAACAAAAAGCCACAACTGTAGGTGAAGCTAATCAAGATATATAAAAACATGAAATAAACAGAATAAATATAGGCAAAAGAATACACAGCTTAGTCGCAAGGCTGAAAGGAATGGCAAAATTAAGAATAAATACAGGGGAAAAGGAACAGTCTTACCGTTCACAAGAACAAGAATGAACAGATAAACAAGGTGATCAAGAAATGACACTGAAACCATAGGTAGCAAAAAAACTCTCAAAAGGAAAACTCTCAAAATTTTTGGAGCCTGACAAAAACACATCCGATGGTAATGGTGCTAAGAAATAGAGGAAGAACATGGCGGCCGCCTTCGTGGGAGTCGAGCGAGTGAGGGCGCAACGGCTGGTGATCAAGAATTTAGTGAATGGAAGTAATGGACTAGGAAATAATGCATTTGTCTTGGTAATCTGTGTAGGTTGCAGGCAGTAGACCCAGGAATTTAGCCTCAGTAAGAATTCATATTGAACGGGTTATTGGTAACTTAAGAAATGTTATCTTCTCGACGATAAAATTCATTATGCTCAATGCAAAGAATGATGTTAGTGCCATGTGCAGTGGCGCAGCCAAGTTGCAGACGTGAGATAAACCAGCGCCTCTTTTATATGGGGTGTCGGGATCATGGGCCAGACAATCAGCGCTTGGATCCTAAGCAGCCAATCGCTGTGGAGTAGTTGCTGCACAGCCACTTGCCAATCAGGTGGCAGAAACAGAGGTTTACGCGATGTCCAATGTTTTAGGGGCATTTCGGTCACAGCTTTCAAACAAACAAGGCTATTTACTTTAAATCTAAACAGTCTGTACGTTTTTTTCATGACAAAAAATTCAACAACATTCCGTGGTTTATACGATCTACACAACAGGATTGTGGATATAACATTGGCCGGAGTGCAGATAAAAGTCTAATGGTAAATAGCACAGGAGTTTGGGGTAATTCAAGTCTGTCTAGAGGCCCGACCAAGTAGGTGGTGTGTCCATGAACTGATCATCTGTGGGGGAACATCGGCAGCCATGCCCCATACACGGCGCAGGGTTCAGGATTCGCATCGGCACCAGGATGGCCCAAGACGAAGTAAAAGACCCAGATGTGGCCCACA